TGTATGTATATACATATTTGTGAATGAGCTTGTATTTCTATATCGGTCTATAGTGTATATTTAGGTATGTGGTGTTTAAGAAAAGCCTATGGTCGCTCCAAATTCAGAGAGGTAAGTAAACTTCCTCAGTCTCATGGGAATCTGGTGAACAAACAGTTTGGTAGCAACATGCGGAAGACGGATCAAGGAATGACATTTATGTTTTGGTGAATTACATGATACCCCACTATACAACACTCAAACATTCAGCAGTAAAAAAAAAAAAAATATTATAGCAACAGAAGTTACATTTTTGACTTAATGCAGGTTTTTTTAGTCTGATTTATGGTAATTATGAGGCCTTTGACCAAATTCTGCAGAGTGAACATAACCATTGTGTTTCGGGTGACATCACTTTAATGACTTTAGTGTTTAAATATTGATTCGGAAAAATACATGAGGTTAATACTGTTTTATAAGATGCATAGCGCTCTTTAATTGTTTTAGTTTTTGACAATGTTAGGGCAGATAGCCTTCATCAGATACATTTTTCTTAATATCTTTCTTTGAACCACAGTGTACTGGAGAAATAAATTGACCAGTTCATATAATAGGTGATCAGGTTAAACATGTGTGGCTTTTTCTTAAATGCGCAACTTTTCTGGTGGAAGACCCATCATATGCTTTCCTCCATGGAGATGTTATTGCTTGGTCTGGAATGTTTCTTCCTTTCTATCTTCATAGAGCCCAAACCAGACCAACTTACAAGTCACATCTGTGAGGAGGCAACCCCACTCACAGTCAGAGTGCCTGTTCTTCTATGTATTTTTGAGCTATAAAACCACCTGTAATGGTGGTAAGGTAGAGCTGTTTAATGGCATATGTCATTGGTCTGCCTGGAATGTTCCCATGACATATCCACAGAAACAAGCACGTGATGGACCCTCAACCAAAAAGTTACATAGTGCACCTTTAATGAGAGAAAAGAAAACTCTGAGCAATGCCTCCATACTTGGAACATCTCCCTTATCTTGACAGACCAAGCAATTACTGACAGTACAAATGACTATGACATAAACTCAAGGCTATAGCTAGGACTTTGCAGACATCCTAACACAATGTTCTGATTTGAACCACATAAAACTCAGCCTTTACTGTACGCGCTCCTGTCTGATGCTCTTGTTTGAACTAGCAGCCCCAGCACATAAAAGAGAAAGTGAGAAATATGAAATCAAATCAAAACCAAATGAGTCGAGTGCCACTTCGTCTAACAGCACTTTACCCGGCAGCCCTCCTTTTTTTCCGCTAAAACTTAAGTGATTAAAGAGAAAAAACGCCTGCTCGCCATCACCCCCCCTCCCTTCTGTCCCTTTGTACACACTTCATACAGATTAACACTTAGTAACCCCTATTTCCTGGACTGGCATGATGCTAACTATTGCAACGTGGGTTCATTGGTGGATTCGTGCAAGGAACAAGGACACGCGGCAAAGACAGAGGTGTTTAAATATAGGAGGACGGGAGAGAGGCTGGTTTTTCTCTGTGTCTGTTGCACTAGTGAAAACATCATTGTCCAGCCGCTGTCAGCTCTGAATTATCTCTGAAGACCGGTTGGCACCAGGTGGAGCACAGGGCCTTTAGAGGATGAGAGGATTTGACACAGCGCAGCCAGTTCCATTAGAGCCACATTCTTGGTCCCTTTTAAAATTCACTGTGTTTTAAAGGTGTATTGTGTAACTTTTCTGGTGGAGGGTCTGCCAAAGATGTTATCGCTTTGTCTGGAATGCTTGTTATGGCATTAAACATTTCTATCTTCATGGAGACCAGACCAGAACAAGGCACAGGTCAGATCTGTGAAGAGGCAACTCCGCTCACAGTTACAATGTCAGTTTTTCTAGGTATTTTTGAACTATGAAACCATCTGCAACTGAATAAATGTACGGTAGAGCCTTCTAATGGCAATGACATATCCATAGAAGCAAGCAGGTGATGGACCCCCAATCAAAAAGTTACATCGTGTACCTTTAAAGAGGTCCGAGTTTTGCATAGATTTATTTTAGCAAGAATTTGCTCAATTTATAAACCGATAATGGAGTTTTACAAAAGAAGCTGTTTCAAGAAGTGCCTCCAAAAGCAGAGAAAGTTCAGAGGCAGAGAGAATGGGTGGTCACTTAATGTCCCTATGCAAATGTAATGGGTAATGTACTGTACAAAGGACAGTATAATTAGTTTAAGTAGTATTTTCTCCAAATTTGAAAGCTCTTATAGTAAGACGAAGGCTGAAATAACTATGTGGCCTAGTTTTAACAGCTCATTGCCTGTTTCTCTAACTTGACCTGTTTGTAAATCAGGCAAGTATATATTTTGTTATAGTCCACTTCATTCCAACACTCACTTTCTTCACCATACCCCAAGAGCCCATTTACAATTATTACCAATAAAAATAATACTGCTATTATCTTTTATTATTGCATTTTCCTAAGGTTCAGCCAGCAGCTGTTGGAGATTTTGATAAATCTTACAAAATAGGTCCTGGCACTTGGTCCTGGTTTCTTTGGTTTCATGTACGGCCTCACGGCATGGGTGGGTATCTGAAATCTGGACTAACGGACCATGGAGCAGATTGGTGTTACCGTGTTAAACTGCTTTCAGCTAATTTACTACAGGGTTGGGATTGTGAAGGAAAAAAAGGAGTGACAGTAATAAAATGCTATAAATGCGAACTATTCCAAATATGCAAGTGACTCAATGGGATGTTTTATAAAGATTCTCCCTTCACACGTGGTTCCCAGTGAGTGCGTTGATGACGGTGCATTCCTCGACCTGGTTTCACCTCCTCGTAGCATGACTCACCTCAGTGCCTTGACTCCGGCCTTGTTTATTATGTCACAAAAGACCGGTGGCGCATTTGAGGTGCGAGAAAGTCAGAGAATCCAGCTGTAAGCGAAGTGCACTCCCCCCGTCCTCCTACAAGTCTCCCATAAATGAGCATGTCCAATGTACCCACTGTGTTTCATTAAAACCAGACCACATCAATCAGAGGCTGAACTTTAAAGACCATGTCCTCCTTCTCCACCAACACCAGAGGAAAACATAGAGCTGTTAAAGCGGAGGACCTCACAGTAGAAGTACACCCCGATGGTCCAATACTTAACACCAGGCTACTCTCACTGCCCCCGGACCACACAACCTCTACGAGTCCAAGACCACACAAATGGTCCAATGACGAAAAGGCCCTTGTAAGACCTCACACCAAACGTGAAGTGAAGAATTCTAGACCATTCAACATCTGTGGCTATGTAACATACTGACAACTAACTGAATCACAAGTGTAGCCCTTACTCAGCATTCAGGAACTTGAAAGCTGTTTACGCACGTGACAAAGCAGGCATTTTTACTTAACAGAAACTTTGGTTAAGGTGGTGCAAAGAATTGAAATTTAATTTTGATTCTTTGTCAAGGATCAGCGTGGTTCATTTCAATCAAGTGGTCCTCAGCCAATGTTCTGTCAGTAAAAGCATGTGGTTTGGGGTTCAGACTATTTTCTGGGTCAAATGGCAATGATTAGACGTCTGTATTGTTCATGTTCAAGGAAATGATATTGTGATTGTTCATAATAAGGCAAAATAAAAATTTAACTGAATATCAGGATTGCTCAAGAACATGATTCATTTTTTGTCATATCGCCTAGCCCTAAACTAAGTACAAGGGAAGTGCAAGATCCGCTGCACCCCCGCTGATGAGAGAAGAATTGGAGAAGAAGCCAGGAGTACATAGCTGGAAGGTCAACAGGGGGTATGCCAGAACGACGGATGAGTAGATAAATTAGCGGAAGAGAGCTGAGCAGAGGGAGAGCAAGAGGCTGGGAAGGAGTCCCATGGGTGTGGACGGGAAGGCAGCCCCAGTGATGGAAAGCTTTCAAAGTCCTTTCATCGGCTGCCTGAGGACTGGAGCTTTACAAGAGCAAGATGAGCCGGCGCCACTAGAGCTGCTTGGCTCTCTCCAACCAAACCCAGACGCTGAGACGGAGCAGGAGCCTATCAGCACTCCGCCCCCTCCACAGGCCCCACCCCCTCCACTGGCTCCGCCCACTCAGCCCCTCAGCCGACCCCTGCCTCAACCAAATGTGTGAGCATCTGTGCAGGGCTCATTCGAAGCTACAGCAATGAGAGAACACATTTGTAAAACACTGACAAGAGCTCACATATGATCACAGTTTTGAGCTGACAAAAGCACTTTACAGAACATTCTTGGATTTAATCTTCTCCACAGGATCCAGATACCTTGCATGATTTTGGCTTAATGGTCACAAACTTGAGATGCATCGATACAGCTGTTTTAGTTCTGATACCAATATCAGTGTTTTGGCTTCAGGCATTTGTTGATACTTTAACAATCAATAACAGACTGACAATAGATGTTTTAAATTCTAGAATTTCACAAAACACATTTAAAGGTGCACTATGTAACGTTTTAGTTGGGGTCCATTACCTGCTTGTTTCATAGCGATGGCTATGCCATTGCTCTGCTTGGAATGTTTCAAAGTATGACATTAAACTTTACATTAATTAAACTACAGGTGGTTTTATAACTCAAACTCCCCGAGAAAAACAGGAATTCTGATTGTGAGCTGGGTTACCCCTCCATACATCTGAGTTGTAACTTGGCCTGGTTTGATCTCTTTGAAGATAGAAAGGTTTAATGCCATACTGTGTAACATTTCAAACAAAGCAATAACATCTACACGGAGAAATAATTTTTCCAAGAGAAATGTTACACAATGCACCTTTAAATAAGAAATCTAGTAATTCAATCTTCAAGTTAGTTATTTATTAGGAACCACAATATATGCATAAAAGTTCAAATGAAGATATTTTGGGCCAACAACTGCCAATAACATTTACTGATTGGCCAAACACTTGAGCGATATCCAGAAATCTTTTTTTTTTTTTTTTCTGGATTTGGCCCATGTCCATATCATTGCATCCCAAGCCTCAACAAATTTGTAAATCTGTTCTTACCAGTCCACACTGAGGGATCGTCTCCGGTAGGACGCAGGTCTGTCCTGGTTCTTCTCTGCTTTGGATGGACGCTCCTTCAGGGACAAGCGATGTGTAAATTTGGAAATCCCAGACTCTGACCTGATGGAAAAACAATTACAACATTTTCAATACTTCTATTCAAACTGGGAACAGCCATGTTGCTGGAAGACTTATCTGTGTACATTCCCAACAAGAGTCAACAGTTTGGCATGAATTTTAATTGAAATGCAGCCCAAGAAGTTGATAAACAGGCTAACAATGCAGTAGTTCCCGCTGGAGACATTGGGTTTTTGGGGAAAGCTACATACTTCCTGCGCAATTTTCTCTAAATCTTTTCTGCACACAAGTCACACACATTTTAATCTCCTATTAGGCTGCCAATGTCCCAGTTCAACTTTTTGCTCGAAATTAAAAAGAGGAAATGTAATACTTCTCCTATAATGGCTCGGGACGCATTTGATGGGACTCAGCACTGCTCTCATATTGCGGTGGTAACAGTGGGGAGTAATCAAAATGTAATATTTTCAATCCAAGAGACAGGCCGCAGTACACGGAGCAGGAAAGACTCTGAAACATGAAACTATCAAAGAGGGACTTTTCCACCAACTGAGTAAAGTTATATAAAGTTATGCTTAAGTGACCCCCTCCTTACCTGATCTCATACCCCACTGTTTCCATTTTACTTCAGAATGATAAAGCATCTCTACTAATACACATATCTGCGACGACTGGAGCCAAAAAGTGTTTTAGCCCCTCTACGGTGCGCTCTGCTGGAGACAAATGGGCCGGGCACCCCCCTCACCGCGACCAAGTACGTGACAGTATTGTTGTTCACATACGGCCTTAATAAACCCCGAGGATGGGTGATTTCTGAGCTGTGACATGGATGAATGACAAAGCAACAGTGCATCCAGTTGTGTCTAATTCAATAGCCTCATTGGCACGACGACAAGTGGAATGGAGTCGAGTTCTGACAGCATCCCAAATGAGAGATTTTTATGGGACAGCAGACAGTGTGTCCAGCAGGCTGAGTGCTCCAGTGGGACAGTATTAAATATGAAATAATAACTGCTCACATAGATTCAATAGGATGGAGGCAGGCACTTCTTGGTTGGCTTTTGAGGCCAGTTGAATTTGGATGTTTTCCCCAAGTACTACGTCAATAGAATACAACAATTTTAGATTTATAAAAGCTGCTTCATCCAGGAGTTATATTCATAGTGAGATATGTGTTTTGTATAAAGAAGACATATGATGCTTTTGTGGGAATTTATTATAGAACTGTAACATGTGAAGATCCTTACTTTCCCTTTTGTTCATAATATTGATCTAAAAGAACTTAATAAAAGAAACAGGTCCACGGAATTCCTGTTCAAAACTGCACAACAGAAATAACTCACTTCTTTGTAGTAGTATTTCACTGTAGAAGGCAGCAGAATTAAAGTTTTTTTTTGGTAAAAATGGCTATGCAACATTCTATAACCCTAAATGTATGTGAGTCTGAAATGATTCAAAAGAGTAGCAAGTGGAGATAGAGGGCAGATGAAAACAGAACATTTCTGAGCACTCAAGTCTCAAATGTAGGACAATACTGGATGATTGAAACATTCATGAATCAATGGACAATTCAGAGCAAGCCTACTGTCCCCTTTAATATATAGATTGGACTGGGGACAACTATATTTTCAATTGCTAAGAAGAATCAATACCTTTGCAAAGGTCAGTGCTCTCCCAATGCTTTCACAAATTGTGCAGCCTTTATGTAAAGCATATAGAGGGCCTGTAGGACCAGCTGCCACTCTGATCAAAGTTGACCCGCTGAGAATGACCTCATGCTTGGGCTTATCTGTGAGCGGAGCCCCCAGTCCCAGTGCAGCGGTTCCCACTCCTCCAGCACCACTACTGTTTCCTAAAGCCACGCCAGCTCCTCCAGAGAGCCCATGACCTCCAAGACAAAGAGGCATATTTTCCCTTATGAATCATTCAAAGGGTGTGGGATTTTGGTCAGATGGCAAAGGAGCCTCTAATTGATGGTATTAGGCGAGGATGAAATGCGACTTCTTCAAGGGCTTTTAATTGAATTAGTAGCACTGCTGTATACACGCCAAGCACTATGATGCGTCACTGTTTACGTTCTTTCGTAGAAACTGTGAGCTTGACTTTGATTTGCAAAGTTTAATTCCTAAAAGTCCCGCTCGAATGGCTGATAGGAATCATCAGCGGGTGTAAATAAAGCATTACGTGTCATTTTGGAGTCTGATCTGTGACCAATGAAGGAGCCCCCTCTTTTAAACTTCAAACAGAACCTTTGGCTCAAACACTTGACACAACATGACAATAGGATAATGACTTCAATGCCGTGAAAACATACATGGGATCAAGAGTTCAAAGCATGGGGGCCAGCAGACCTAGCCGGGGACTCAGGGAATCCCTTTGAGGGCTTTAGACACAAGTGGACATGAGAAGCAGGTGCCTGTTGGCTTCTTAAGAGCGTCCAGTCTGGCTCTTACCCCACGCAGCTGTCCCACGATAACATCATCACTGCGGGCACACACTGATGATGCAATCCCCCTCAGAGGCCCTCAGGATCTCCCGCTCAATTATCCTCTCATCACACATGGATTCTTACACTGGGTCTGCGCGTGTCCGCTACTGATTCACACTCATTTTATTCAATCTGGGGTTTCTAGAAAAGTCTGTTCCATTTAAAATAAAGGGCCAGGATGACTTCACCTTTTGAGTATTGCATGGGAGGTAAATTGGTCTGAAGTATGCAGCAACAGAGCTAGTGATGAAAACAAAATATAATGACAATAGCAGCTTATTTACTGACTACTTTAGTAAGTGTCTTTGTCCAGAATTTTTTGACAGAATTCATTTTTCTTTTGCAATGGAACTTATCTTGACAACTGAGGGATTACACAGACATCTAAGATTTGTTTTATTTGCATCTTTATTTGAGTTTGTTCAGACGACTAGAATTTCTTCTTGGCGCCTGTTTCTGGTCATTACAAATACACAGTCATGTCACCATATGTACATATTTACAATTTGCATGATGCATTTGATGTGTACACTGCCTTGTCTTCTATTAACACCTCTATTTATTCACATGATTCATCTGCGTACTAGTTGTTTGTGCTTTGTTGTGAGTCCAGAAAAATAAGACAAATTTAGTAGCGGCGCTCTGATCTTCCTGTAATGGTTTTTATCTTCCTGTCATCTGCTTAAGGCTCCACAGAGCTTACAGAGTCGCGCTTCTATCTGCGTTCCACATTGTTGCACCAGTGACTCCCACAAAGCATTACAACAGACCATAATATGCGTCTCATGTGCAGTCGCCTCTCTGTAATGTGACTGATTAGGATCTTGCCAGTAACTTTCCCCCTGAACTAGCAACTCACCATCTTTGTTGTCACCTCTATTCCTTTACCATGGCAGAATTAGCCATCAGATATTCATGTTAAAAATGAGTACTGGTTGTTCTTGTAGTAAACAAAGCTATCAACTGTGACCCTTTTCACAGCCCCTCTAACCTACTGTTATATGAGAGCCAGTTAAGACGGTCAGGAATTTTAGCAGTTTTTGAGTCCAAGTGTGCTGCTTAGTGAACTTAAATCATATGATCATGTTTAGGGCAAAGCTGCAATGTATAAATGGAACAACAGATGAAAAAGTTCCATAGGTTTTATTATAGTTATAGATTAAATAACAATGCACATCCCAGTAGCCTGTGTTTACATTTCTCAAATTTAAGTCTATGAGAGATTCACTGTTTTTGAAACAAATATCAAATCTTATGATTCACAAATGACCTTATCTTAGACCTTATCTTTATTTGTTAGGAATTATGGCTTAAAATGCTTTCAGCGCTACATCTTTGAGGTCGAATAATGGCACCACTTTCTGAAGCTATTGTGAAAAAGTAATTTCACCTTAGTTCATTTATTCTCAGAAAGAAGATTCAATTTTGTGATATTAACCACAAACTAGGATAAAAGGATAATACATCTGCATGATGATAGTGAAACAGCAAATTCTTTCAAGAATTCTATGCTGTCCAGTGTCCACTGAGCTGGAGGATAGGTCAGGAAGTTTTTTATTTATTCATATATTTAAATCAAATTATTCTATTCTGTATCTATTAGAGCACCCATGCCCTGCCACACAGTTTTTCTCTAAGAAGTGTTTATAAAGTGATCCCAGTGAAAGCTATGCATTACTCAATCTATGCGGTGCGCCTGTGGTTAGGCCGGCTTAACCACAGATGGTATTGCAGATTACTAAGTAACAGACACTACAGTAAATCATACACGGGGCAGACAAATACCTGACCCCGTCTCGGTAATTATGGCCAATGGCTGCCTACCTAAAACAACTATCTTCAATGGGAGAGAAAACAACGCTCTGGATTTCTTTCATCTCCCTCAAACTGCTATGGCTTCTGCTCGTGCCAAAGGAACAGCAGCAATGTACACGGGCACCAGCCCATGTAAGAGATACAAATGCACAAACTGCTCTAAATGTGTTTCATTAGCAAACAAAACCTCTTTCAGTGGGCCAATCATAAAAGCACCCGGCCAAGCTACGAACGCCGCTAATTAAAATGTGCTCAAAGAAAGCCTTGTTTTCCACTCGGCATCGCTGTCCAAACCCGTGTCTGTGCTGTATGTCTACAGATTGCGGAGGCTGCATTTATTTCTCTTGGAGTCACATCTCGCCAGTAAAATAAGAAGCAGTGATATTTCTAACTGCGATAGCTTTATTGTGTAATGCGTGATTAGTCAAGGCACTAGGTCAATTAAGTTCCCGCTTGGCAGTGAAAGTAGGAGGGGAGCTGGCTATTCTAAGTATAAGCAATTTTTTAAACCATATTTTATAATAATTTACGGGACAAATGCATTGCACTTTTTGAATCTCAAATACAATTTTGAGGCTAGATTGCATTTTATCCATCCTTTGTAATAGAAAAAGAAACTAACTGATATTTCTACAATGGAAATTCCAACTGTGTCCTCATATACAAGGTGTAGCTCAATGAAATGTTGCTTTTACTGATGATAATTGTAATGCAGATTTATTCTTGATAACAAAATCAT